TAGTAGAGCGCTAGCCTTGAGCTGAAGAGCTGAAGGCAGCACCCAGGCCCAGAGTTCAAGTGCCATGACTGACCAAAAAAAAAAAAATAATAATAAAGCCAAGTGGAAGTGTGATGTCTGAGTTCAAGTCCCAGTACTGGTGCACGCAAGTGCGTGGATTTCATCCTCTTCAGAAGCTAGGATTACAGGCATAACCACTGATGCCTGTACACACACACACACACACACACACACACACACACACACACACACACACCACCCAAAAACAAAACCAAAAATTTCTAAAATTACTTTCTTGGGGATAGCTCAAGTGGTAGAGTGTGCTTGCCTAGCAAGCACAAGGCCCTGAGTTCAAACTCTCAGTGCTGTTAAGAAAATAATAACAACCAGGCTGGGAAGGTGGCTCAGTGGTAGATTTGCTTGCCTCGAATGCATGAGGCCCTGGATTCAATTCCTCAGCACCACATAAATAGAAAAAGCCAGAAGTGGTGCTGTGGCTCAAGTGTAGAGTGCTAATCTTGAACTGAAGAGCACAGGGAGAGCTCACCCAGGCCCAGAATTCAAGACCCACAATCAAAAAAAAAAAAAATAACAACAACAAATTTGGGGGGAATGTAGTTTAGTGGTAAAGTGCTTTCCTAGTGAGAGGCCTGGATTCAATCCCCAGCACCAAAATAAAATTACCTCCTCACCAGATATGGTGATGTACAACTATAATACCAGCATTTGGGAGGCTGAGGTAGGAGGATGAACAATTATGGAGACACTGTCTCCCTCCCCCACCTCTCTCTCTTTCTCTCCCTCCTTCTCCCTATCTTCTCCATACACACGTATATGTGTGTGTGTGTGTGTGTGTGTATAGGTATCAGCGGTTTATGCCTGTAATACTAGCTTCTGAAGAGGATGAAATCTAAGGATCCCAGTTTGAAGCTAGTCTAGACAGACAAAAGCAAGAGACTCTCATCTCCAATTAACCAACAGAAAGCTGGAACTGGTGGTGTGGCTCAAGTGGTAGAATGCCAGCTGTGTGAAGAAGGCAAATTCCTAAGTACATGCCTGAGATCTTGAATTTAATGTATTACAAGTTACCTCCTTAGCAAGGTCATCTCTGACTAACTAGACATTCTCTAGAATGTCACCTCATATGATTATAATACATAAAATAACTTACATTACTTGTTTATTTTTGTTCTCTGCTGGAATGGGACCCCCAGGAGCACAGGGACCAGAATTATGCCTGTTCTAGGCAAATGTTCATTAGATATGCATTAATAGGTAGATGGAGGTTGAGGCTGAAGGGTGGTCAATCGTCTGGGATGATGGAAAGAAATGAAGAAAGTGTGAGGTCAGGGTGGGCTGGGAATGTGTCTTAGTGGTAGAGTGTTTGCCTAACATTCATGAAGCTCTGGGTTAGATTCCCTAGTACCACATACACAGAAAAAAGCCAGAAGTGGAACTGTGGCTCAAGTGCTAGAGTGCTAGCTTTGAGCAAAAGAAGCTTAGAGACAGTGCCCAGGCCCTAAGTTCAAGCTCCAGGACTGGTGGGAAAAAAAAGTGTGAGGTCAGGGATATGCATTGTGTGTCTCAGGCATGGTCAGCTCAGCTCTAGCACAGAACTTGTTGGTTGGGGACACAAACAACTTGTTGGTTGAGCATAGATTATGGCGTGTCATATAGGATATACTAAAAAATCAGGATTCTATTCTACTAAATAACAGAGAAAGTTCAAGGCCTGGCCTTGAGCTGAGGCATGGCCTAATTAGAGATATATTTTGAGAAAATTAATCCAGAGTGTGCTGTAGAATAGAAAGAAACAGGCCCAGATGTGTAACATGCACTGCCTAGGAAATGAAAATTTGTAGCTTCTTGCTCATAGAAAGACAGTATCATTAGAGACAGCGAAAACAAAATGTTTTCCTTTCTCCCCTCAGTTCTCCCAACCTCATGATTTTTTTCTTTGCTATTTGATGTTTAGATTGTTGTTGTTGTTTTCGTTACTGAGGATTGAACCCAAGTGCTCTACCCCTTGTCATGCCCCTAGATTTAAGAACTAACATTTTCCAAGAGGCAGGGGAGGGAAATAGAATAATGGAGGATGAATAATATTGAAATGTATGGTGCCTGTGGTTTTTTGTTTTTGTTTTTTCCAGTCCTGGGGCTTGAACTCAGGGCCTGGGCACTGACCCTGAGGTTCTTTTTGCTCAAGGCTAGCACTCTACTACTTGAGCCTCAGCTCTTTCTGACTTTTTCTGTTTATGTGGTGCTGAGAAATTGAATCCAGGGCTTCGAGCATGCTAGGCAAGCACTCTACCACTAAGCCACCTTCCCAGTTCCCTACCTCCCCCCAGAATACCTATGTATGAAGATGACCTAAGGAAACTTACTGAAAGTCATGGAATAGAGAGTAAGGAGAAAGGGAAACAAGCAATAAGTGGGATTAATCTGACTAACTTGAAATAGGTGTGCATGTGAATTACCATGGTGAACCCCTTTGGTACAATTAATGACTAAAAAATGGGAGAAAGAAAGAATGACTGAAAAGACAGACAGACTATGCAGGAGGGTTGAATGAATATGAATATGGTTGATGTAATTTACATGCAAGCATGAAAACAGAACAACAAGATCTGTGGAAATTAATTTAGATGGGGCTGGGAATGTGGCTTAGTGGTAGAGTGCTTACCTAGTATGCATGAAGCCCTAAATTCCACTCCTCAGTTCCACATAAACAGAAAAAGCCAGAAGTGGTGCTGTGGCTCAGGTGGTAGAGTGCTAGCCTTGAGCAAAAGAAGCTCAGGTTCAGTGCCAGGCAGGCCCTGGGTTCAAGCCCCAGGACTGGGAAAAATAAAATCTCTTCAAGGAAAATTGATAAAGAAATTTGAGGAGACAGTGATTCTTTCTACCTCTTTTTTGAGTTGTATGTAATGTGGTAGAGTCTTGTTACATGTAACCCTGGTTGGTCTCAAACTCATAATACTGCTTCAGCCTCCTAAATGCAGGGATTACAGGCATATACCAACCAAATTTGGTTGGTGATTTTTCTTTTTTTTTTTTTTGCCAGTCCCAAGGCTTGAACTCAGGGTCTGAGCACTGTTCCTGGGCTTCTTTTGCTCAAGGCTAGCACTCTATCACTTGAGCCACAGCACCACTTCTGGCTTTTTCTGTTTATATGGTACTGAGAAATCAAAAACAGGGATTCTTGCATGCTAGGCAAGCACTCTACTACTAAGACTTGTTCCCAGCCCTCAGCTGATATAATTCTCTCTCTCTCTCTCTCTCTCTCTCTCTCTCTCTCTCTCTCTCTCTGTTGATCGTGGGGCTTGAAGCTTGAACTCTGGGCCTGGGCACTGTTCCTGAGCTCTTCAGCTCAAGGTGAGCACTCTACTACTTGAACCACAACACCACTTCAGGTTTTCTGGTGGTTAATTGGAGATAAGAGTCTCACAGATGTTCCTGCTTGGGCTGGCTTTGAACCCCATGATATAATTCTTAGTATGGTATTTTAGAGGTCTTTCTTACTGGACTGTAGCTCTCTCCAGCCCTTTAAGAGTAGCAATTTCAGCCTAGCCAATCTTGGTCTTTCCAGGGCTACGGTAGTACAGTGTCACTAGTAGGTGCTCAATAAATGTTTGCTAACTCAAATGGTTGAATGATGAGAGGATGGGTTTGCCAGGTATGGGTGACTCATGCCTGTAATCCTAGCTACTTAGGAGGCTAACATTTGAGGATCATGGTTTGAAGCCAGCCCAGGCAGGAAAGTCTGTGAGACTCTTATTTCCAATTAACTACCAAAAAAGGTTGGAAGTGGAGCTGTGGTTCAAGCGGTAGAGCACTAGCTTTTAGAAATAATAAACAAATCAATGAATAGCTCAGGGACAGCACCATGAGTTCAAGACCAAAGGGAGAGAAGGAAGGGGAAACACGGAGGGGATGGGGGTTCCAGGAAGGAAGAACTCCTAAGCAGGACCTGAGTGTAGAGCTGGAGTCTCAGGATCATGTTGGGGGCTGGGAGTGTGGCATTGGGAGAGTTTTCAGGGAGATATGTTTGAGAACAGCATCCTTGGGCTCTTTTTTTTTTTTGTCTCTGGCTCTTTCTGTTCTCATATTCTGCCCTGCTGTACCCGACAGGCTTTCTCAGCATCTCTGTTTTACTCTCTTGCTAACCTCGTGCCGGGGTCCTCACCACCTTTCAGTATATATCATCTTCCCTTTTAGTCTCTGACTCTGTGAGGGGGTTAATCTTCTTTTCCTCCACCCAGATACGCCCTCTGTCCCCTCCTCCCACCCTATTTGCAGTCCAGTACCTGGGGTGGGGGTAGGGAAGAGACCGCCTAGTTCCCTAGAGGCGGTGGCGGGGGGGCGGGGCTAATCCAGACATCCATATTTGCATATGCATAAGGTCGCCTGGGCCAGCGCCGAGGAGGCGGGGCCTCTGGGGGTGGGAACGGGGCGGGCACCCTGAGAGTCTCGGAGTATAAAGACCGCGCGCGCGGCGACCGCGGGCCCTGCACTGCCGAGGGAGCGGAGCCTCCGCCTGGGGGGGACCCCGGTTCCTAGCTGTCCCTCAACTGCGCGTCCCCGCCCCAGCCCCCACGGCTGGGCTGCCGGTGGTCTGGTGGTCTCTGCTGGGCGGAGGAGCTTTGAGCGGCCACCTGCCGTGGTCCACAGCCTTCCTGCATCTCGGATTCGGGGCTGCTCCTACCCTCTCCCCGCCTTTCCCAGCTGCTTTGCACCCCGCTTTTTTTCTGCGTTCCGCTCGGGTTTTGCAGCCGTCTGGTTTTTGCGCCCCTTGCTGTTTTGCTTCTCGTCGGTTTGTGGGGTGAAGCTGCGTCCGCCCTCCTTCCCCCTTTCCCCCTGCTCTGACCACCTCCCCCTTTTCATCGCTCTCGGGGGAGGGCCTAGTATTGGCGCACGCACCTCCAGTCGCACCGCCAACACCCCGCAGCGCGTGGCCGTGCACCCTGGAAATTGCATACTGAGCGGGGTCCCCCTAGCTCCGGCTGCCTTCCCTCTCCGCGCGTTCGGGTACGCGGAGGGCTTCAGAGCGCAGCGCCCCTGCTTCTCCGCAGCCCCCCGCCTCGCCCGGGGGATTCGGCCCGCGCCGCCAAGATGGTCATCCAGAAAGAGAAGAAGAGCTGCGGGCAGGTGGTTGAGGAGTGGAAGGAGTTCGTGTGGAACCCGAGGACGCACCAGTTCATGGGCCGCACCGGGACCAGCTGGGGTACGCGGGGTTGGCGCGGGAAAGGCGATGGGGAGGCTGCCTGGCGATGCCTGGGGGCGCAGGGTCCGGTTGGCAGGGCCCCAGCTCTCCTGCTGGGTCCCTGGCGTCCGGGCCCCTCCCCTGTCGGGCTTTGGGCTGGGAGGGGGCCGAATCACAGGTCTAATCTCCAGGCTGGCCGCTGCGGAGGCGGAGAAAGTAGGTCACTGCCGCCTTCCCGCCCCCCGCGGAGCCCCCTCGGGCGGGGGGTCGCGGGCTCCGCGCGTGTCCGCGCCAAGGAGCTCCCGCTCCGCCTCGGGGCCTGTCCACTCCACATGATCACCCCCTCCACCTCTGGAGAGTGCCCCCTCTCTCCCTCCCCCTCCCTCTAGCTAGCCAGGCCCCGTCTATTTTTAGTTCGCGCCCACCCCCTGGACCCTGGGAACATTCATGAGGGGGCGGGTCTGAGAGGGGGGACTGGGGCGGGAGGGGGCCTTCACAGAGGAAGTTGTTTTGTCTATATTCCACCATTTGGGGGGTTTGGAGCCTCCTGTGGTGCTTTGTGGGTGGGGGCTGCTGGGGAGGGGCGGCATTGTGGTTTCTAGGCTGGATGTTCTGATCAGATGTCATCGAGGAGGGAGGAGTGGTCACTGTGGTGATGTCAGGCCGGGTGTGTCTTGGGACTCTGATGGCTTGGGAAACCTTCCCACCCTTATCATGGCGGGTGCAGAGGGACCTGTATGTGGCTGGGATCTGGTGACTGGGTGCAGGTGAGATGAGGGGTAGATTTCTTCCAAATGAGATTGTCCAACTGGGGAGATGAAGCACTAATGACACTATGATACAATTTACAAGTTATCCGCACCGACTGGACACTGTCCCATCAGTCTAGGGATCCATGAAGGGGGTCTAATGTAGTCATTGTCCTCAGGGTCCTAGAGGCCCATCCTCTGCCATGTGAGGGGTCTGAATACTTGGAACAGTAACAGTCTGAGGCTTCATGGAAAAGTGGCCTGTGTCTGCTAGTACTAAGGCTTGAACTCATGGCCCCTAGGGTTCTTCCTTTTTTGCTTTTTTGCTCAAGGCTGATGCTCTACCACTGGAACCACAGCTTACTTCTGGCTTTTTAGTTGGAGATTAGAGTCTCATGAACTTTCCTGTCTGGGCTGACTTGAACTGTGATCTTCAGATCTCAGCCTTTTAAGTAGCTAGGATTACAAGTATGAGCCACTGATGCCTGGCAAGAAAGTATCTTCTGAGGTGGAAGACTAACAGGTCAGGGTGATGGGAAGGGCAGGTCTTCACAAGAAGCTGAGAGGATGAATGGTGACATGGTGTCAGGAAAAGGCTCTGGGGAAATCTACCTTTGCTCTAGGCCTTTATATGAGTTGAGAACATGGCGACTCTTGAGGTTCAGACATCTGTCTCTGAGATTTTACAGCTAGGCCATAGTGTTGGGCCCCTCATTCTAGGAGTTGCTTTCAAGGTTTGGCTTCTGGTAGGGCACCAGAGAGTCCAGATCTTGCCATTTGAGTATGGGGGTCCAGACTGCAGGGTGGTAAGTGTTTATCTGTGACTGGTGGCTAGGATGGCTTTAAGCATGAGTACGGATGCAAGGCTCACAGATGTTGTGGCCTTTCAGGACCATGCACGGTTGAGAAGTTGGAAATGTAATTAGAGGCACAATGACAGTGGCCTATTCTTGGAGTTGTCCCAGCAACAAGAGTTTAGGTCTCTTGTGGCTTCTGCAAGGTCGGGCTTCACTGTGCCCTAGGAGTAGGAGGAGGCTTGGGAGGCAGGGCTAGACGCTGGACACTGTCTGTAGCTTGTTTCCTTTGGCTCCCAAGGGAAGGTGCTGAGACATCCTGTAGCTGTGTGGCCTTACCCAGTGCAGAACTTTCGAGAGGGAAAGAAGGTGAGCTCATGACAGGAGACGGAGTACTTGCTGACTGTGTTTCCTCCTCCATAGCCTTCATCCTCCTCTTCTACCTCATCTTCTATGGCTTCCTCACGGCCATGTTTACGCTCACCATGTGGGTGATGTTGCAGACCGTCTCTGACCATACTCCCAAGTACCAGGACAGACTGGCCACCCCAGGTAAGTGATGAGGTTTCCCCTTCCTTGCTACTCTACCTACCTTCATGTCCCCCAGCTTTTCAAAAGGGATTCTATTCTTTTCAGTCTGGCATTGATGATCCAATCACTACGTGCTAGGAAATTCTTAGCTCTGTCTTTCTTCTCATGTCCTGAGAGCTATGTGATCTAAGAAAACGGCAGATAGGAAGGAGAGCACTCCTATAAAGATAATCTCAGATCTTCACCCCATCCCTTACCTTGGTGTTCCTATAACCACTCCCCACCCCATGCCTTAATAATTTTATTTATTTATGCCCTTCCCATTCCTGCCCATGTCAACTATAGGTTTGATGATTCGCCCTAAGACGGAGAACCTTGATGTCATTGTTAACGTCAGTGACACAGAAAGCTGGGATCAGCATGTTCAGAAGCTCAACAAGTTTTTGGAGCGTGAGTGTTGGGGATGGCTGTATGTTAGTCCAGGACCTTGGGAAGTGTGGCCTGAGACCACTGGAAGTGGAACATCAGGTCCATGACTCTCCCTCCCACCTCCTTAGCTTACAACGATTCCATCCAAGCCCAAAAGAATGATGTCTGCCGCCCTGGGCGTTATTATGAACAGCCAGATAACGGGGTCCTCAACTATCCGAAACGTGCCTGCCAATTCAACCGGACCCAGCTGGGCAACTGCTCTGGCATCGGGGACCCCACTCACTACGGTTACAGCACTGGGCAGCCCTGTGTCTTCATCAAGATGAACCGGGTACCCATGACCTTGGTCCCTAGGGAAAATGGAGGAGGGAGCTGGGGACACTACCATCTGTTAACTATGTGTCCTTTCACTGCGGTTAATGGGCATTAGAGGTTTTTTGTTTTTGCTTTTTTTTTTTTTTTTCTTTGAGAAGCTGCATGAATCAAAGAGATAGACGTGTGGGAAGGTCAGCTCTGTAGTTGAAAGACTTGATGCCTATGATAGGATTTCTTCCCCCCTCTCTCACAACCCTCCTTCCTCACTCCAGGTCATCAACTTCTATGCAGGAGCAAACCAGAGCATGAATGTTACCTGTGTTGGGAAGGTGAGTTTAGGGATCTTGCCCACCTGCCCACCTGTTTGTCTTTCATGGTTCCCATGTGATTTATCCATCTCTCCTTCTCTTTTTTGCTCCTAGAGGCCCCAACACTATAGGGACAAGGGGGTAAGAGTAGGCTCTAATGTGGCTTGAATTCCACAGGGTTTCCAGCCCTTGCTTTTCTCTAGGATACAGAAGCCTGCTCTGCTGGGGAATAGACCACCCAAAGTCCTGGTTTCTCCCCTTGTGCCTCCTACCCGTCCTGTGTCCCTTCAGTGTCCATGTTGCCTGCTTCCCCTCCCATATCCCCCTAGTACTCCTCAGTCCCCTTTAGAGTTCTGGTTAGCTGCTGTTGGGTTAGCACCATCTACCACCAAGTTGTCTGCAAAACCTTGCTTCCAACTCCGATCTCTAGAAATATGCTGTCCCTTCCCACTCACCCTCTTCCTCCTTACTACGGAGCTCTTACTGTTTATCTATTCTCTCTTGGCTCTGCTCCAGAGACCGATTCCCAAGGACAGGGTAAGAACTTGGGGAGCTAGTGGAGTAGGAGGCTTGTACTGTGATACTAGCATCCTTCAGAACTCCCCATCTTATAGAAGACATGCGAACGCACACACAGGAAGACATGTGAACACTCACACACGTGCACACTACAGCTGAAGAGATTCCTATCACATCTGAGATTGGAATGATTTGGGGAGGGGGGTGTGAAAGAAGCACAAAGGGAAGTCTGGTGAGCTCCTGAGTACCTGGCTTGTCTAACATGCTCACTTCTTTACCTTCTTGCACCCCTCCACAGCGAGATGAAGATGCTGAGAATCTTGGCCACTTTGTCATGTTCCCTCCTAATGGCAACATTGATCTCATGTACTTCCCTTACTACGGCAAAAAGTTCCACGTAAGTCCCATGGGAGGGCTGGGATGATGGCTTCCTGGGGAACACAGTGGGGTTTCTTGGGGAGGAGGTTGAGGCTGCCCTTGGCCTAGATCTTTCCTTTGCCCTCATCTGGCCCAGGTGAACTACACACAGCCCCTGGTGGCTGTGAAGTTCCTGAATGTGACCCCCAACGTGGAGGTGAACGTGGAATGCCGCATAAATGCTGCCAACATTGCCACAGACGACGAGCGAGACAAGTTTGCCGGCCGTGTGGCCTTCAAACTCCGAATCAACAAAACCTGAGGCCCCTTCCTCCCAACCCCCACCACTCTCCTGTGGATGCTTCTGGAATGTCCCTGACCCTGCCTGATCCCTCCCTACCTGCCCTAAAGGTATTTTTTTATAACAGAGCTATGACTTGTTTGCCTCACACCCTCTTCTTTGACTTCTCAACCCTGCCTGATGTGCACTGTGATTCCTGACTGCACCCATTTTCTACCATTTTCTCCCAGCCAGAGACAGAAATGGGCAACCAAGATGGCCACAAAGGAGTTAAGAGTCTTTATAGTTCTGGTTTAGCTGTGAGGGGGTTGGTTTTATAACTCCTCCCTGCACTTCTGCTTATCTTCTATAGAGAAACACACACACACACACAGACACACACACAGACACACACACAGACACACACACACACACACACACACACACACACACACACACACACACACACACACACACACACACACACACACACACACACACACACACACACACACACACACACACACACACACACCCAGATTTGATTCCCAGCTCCCATTCCCTGCTCCAGCCACTGTATCTTTGTTATCCTTTCTCCTTTTTCCATCTCTACAGTCCACTATCTTGGTGGTTTTGGCTTTTCTGGGTCCACCATCAGGAATGTTCCCTCTTCTTGCCCATCCTTATTCTCTCTTTTGAAAGGCAGCCATTTGTTACTGAGTACAAGTTGGCTGTGTGGTCTTTTCCCTCTTTCCTGGCACATCCTGCTTCTCCCCCTATGGTGACTCCATCAACTGGGTCAAAAATGAAGGACTAGAAGAGAAGTGTTGATCCTTCTAGAGAATTCTCTTGTGCCCCACATTCCAATTCCTTCCCCGTTCCTTCTGTCATCTGAATAGTCACTACTCAGAGAGGTGGGCTTGACTTTAGGCTGAATATGCACTTTGTTTTTCCAATGACTCCCTTCCCCCCACTGGCCTTCCGAGAATATCCTTCAAGTTCCACTTCCCAGGGAGCTCTGGGGGAGGGGCAGCCATCTTGGCTCCATCCCCAGTAGCCACCTTGGAAACGTCAGCTGGCTGGGGGGATGAGTCCACCTCCTTCTCCTGAGCCCACATCTGCCCCCACCACTTCTCTGGCTTCTAGCAAGTTACCAACTGATCACTAACTCCTTCTCTTTCCTCTGCATGCCAGCCTGAATATTTCAGATCCCCTCCTCAGTCTAGCCTCTGAATTTCTTTACTCCACCTCCTTCAGCCCCTTTTGCCTTTAACAATAAATAAAATAATGCCCATAGAATGTCAACTGAGGGGCCTCCTGCTGCGAGTACTATTTAGTTATGGAGGCATCTTTAACTCTTTCTCCTCGGATCCTCTTCCTTGACCTGTCTAACCACCCCCCCCTTTTTCAATGCTGCAGCCTCCACACCCCACCCACAATGGGCCCTTCCCTTTTTCCTCTCACTGGATCTGTATCTCTTCCCTTTGGGCCCCCAGGTTTTCCTATTCCTATACCCTCTTCTCTCCAGTGATCTCTTTCTCTACAGTTATTTAATGCCTGTGTCAGATCTACTGTAAAAAGAAGATAAAGTACAATAAAATGAGAGCAATTATATATATAAATATATATCATACACAGAGCTCTGTGTGCTAGTTGTTCCTTTCTGAGGATTTGGAAGAACCCTGGGAAGTGAGTGTGGATTTGGGTGACTCTGGGTTACCCAGGTTTTTTTTTGGGGGGTGGGGGGCCTGTTCCTCAGTACCAACCTCTTCCTTCCAGCATCCATCCTGTTCACCTCAACTAACTGAATATACTTTATCTTGAGATCATTCAAGGAGTGATCTAGAAGCAAGAAGCAAGAAGCCACTGGGCACTGTTGGCTTATCCCTGTAACTCTAGCTGCTCAGGAGACTGTGATCTCAGGATACAGGTTCGAAGCCCACCAAGTCAGGAAAGTCTGTGAGATTCTTATCTCCAATGAACTAGCAAAAAGTAAGAAGTGAAGCAGTGGCTCAGTTGGTAAAGTGCTAGTTTGAGTGAAAAAGCTAAGGGACAGCTCTTAGACCTTGAGTTCAAGCCTCAGTACTGGCACAAAAGAGAGAGTAAGAGGGAAGCAAGAAGCCTATATTCCTTTGCATAGGGTGACTTACAGAGTGCTTATGTGCATTCTAGCATTCTAGGCACCATGAGGACACTTATGAAAGAGGCAGAGTTCCTGCTGGAGCCCCCACTTTTAATACGATGAAGAACACAGGGGAAATGCATAAAGGTAGACTGGGATGTGCTTCAAGGAAGGGGAGGCTGGTGATGTCAAAGTTCAGAATGACCTATACTTTCTATAAGAGGCTTCAGAGAAAGAAAGTCAGGCTCTGGTGGTCGATGCCTGCAATCCTAGCTACTCAGGAGGAAGCCAGATCAGGAAGGAAAGTTTGTGAGGCTCTCATTTCCAATGAATCACCAGAAAGCTGCAAGTAGAGCTGTAGCTTAAGTGATAGAGTACTAGCTTTGAGCAAAAAAGCACAGGGACAGTGCCCAGGCCCTTAGTTCAAGCCCCAAGACCAGCAACCAAAACAAAACAAAACAAAAGCCCACAAAAAGCTGTGTATAGGGCAACTTCAGAATTGAGTTTTAAAGGACAACAGGATGGTTTGGGAGGGAACATCGTCAAATGCTTACAGATAGGTTAGAAAAGTTATTCAAAAGAGGGACTGGGAAAGTGGCTCAGTGATAGAGTGCTTGCCTTGCATGCATGAGGCCTTGGGTTTGATTCCTCAGCACCACGTAAGCAAAAAAAAGCTGGAAGTGGCACTGTGGCTCAAGTGGTAGAGTGCTAGCCTTGAGCTGAAGAGCTGAGGGACAACGCCAGGCCCAGACTTTAGGCCCCATGACCTGCTAAGAAGAAAAAGAAAAGAAAAAAAGAAATATTAAAAAAAACTGGGCATGCTAATATATTCCTGTAATCCCAAGACTCCAGACACTGCTGAGGCAGGAGAATCTATGTTCAAGGCCAGGCTGGATACAAGATGAAGCTCTGACTAAAAAGAAAAACATCAGATTTCAAAACAAGGAAACTGTAGGATCCTAATTTTATGAAAAATAAAGATAGAAAACAAAGAATGGGTGGGTATATATGTTTATTGTGGCATATGGGAGAAATGTGTTGATGGCTAATTTTGATTTTATTTTTGGGAGTTAATTTTTGCTTTCTGTTTCTACAATGAGGTAGTCTTAGTATGTGCTTTGAAAAATAACTTACGTATGTATATACAACTTTATAATAAGTTCATAATAGGCACATGCACACATACCACATCTTATAAATAAGGAAAGATTCCTGGCTTGGTGGATGTTATACCAAAATTGGATCATACTGCACATGTTTGTGCACCTTTTTTTCCACTTAAAATAAATTCCATGGGTCTGTTTTACCTGGCAGAAAGCTAATTCTTTTTTTTTTTCCTCTCTCTCTCTCTTTTTTATGCCAGTACTGAGGCTTGAACTCAGGGCCTACATGCTGTCCTTTAGCTTCCATTGAAGGCTAGTACTCCTCCACTTTGAGCTACAGCTCTACTTCCAGTTTTCTGGTGATTAATTGGAGATAAGAGTCTCAAGGACTTTCCTACTGGGGCTGACTTCAAACTGTGGTGCTCAGATCTCAGCCTCCTGAGTAGTTAGGATTATAGGCGTAAGCCACTGGTGCCCAGCTTGCTAATTCATTTTGTGTGTGTGTGGGGGGGAGTGTTGGTCGTGGGGCTTGTACTCTGGGCATATTGCTGTCCCTCAGCTCTTCAGCTCAAGGCTAGTACTCTCCACTTGAGCCACAGTGCCAATTTTTTTTTTTTTCCTGGTGGTTTATTGGAAATGAGAGTCTCATGGATTTTCCTGCCTGGGCTGGCTTTGAACTGTGATCCTCAGATCTCAGCCTCCTGAGTAGCTAGGATTACAGGCGTGAGCCACCAGTGCCCGGTTGCTAATTCTTTTTTTTGTTGTTGGTCATGGGGGCTGAACTCTGGACCTGGACGCTGTCCCTCAGCTCTTCAGCTCAAGGCTAGCACCCTACCACTTGAGCCACAGAGCCACTTCTGGCTTTTTTCTGCTTATGTGGTACTGAGGAATCGAACCCAGGGCCTTGTGCATGTGAGGCAAGCACTCTACCACTGAGCCAACTTCCCAGCCCCTTAATTCATTTTTAATCATGGTATACTGTTTTGTTTTCCTACTGTCACAAGGTCTTGGTGCCGCTGTGAATTTGGAACGCCTTGACAATTTCAGCAGCCATTGTTTCCTTCTTGACTTTGGCCACTAAATAGATTTCTTTCCTCTCTTTCTCTTCCTTTCACAGAGACAAGGTCTCTGTGTAGCTTAGGCTTGCCCTGAACTCTGAGTCTACTTGCTTCTACCTACCTAGTATTAGAATTACAAATATATACCATGCTAGCAGTTTTTCCTTTTTGTAGAGCTGAGAATTTGTCTGTCATGGGGCTTGAATTCTGGGCCTGGGCACTGTCCCTCAGCTCTTCAGCTCAAGGCTAGCACTCTGCCACTTGAGCCACAGTGCCACTTCTGGTTTTCTGGTGGTTAATTGGAGAAAAGAGTCTCATGGACTTTCCTGGCTTTGAATCACAATCCTAAGATTATGCTCCTGAGTAGCTAGGATTACAGGAGTGAACCACCAGAGCCTGGCATAGAACTGAGAATTTAATCTAGGCCCTCATACATGCTAGGCCATGTTTGTGATTTTTCTTTTTTTCTTTGTTTTTCTTATTTTGTCAATCCTGGGGCTTTAACTCAGGGCCTGGGTGCTGTCCTTAGCTTATTTGCTCAAGGTTAGTCCCCTACCACTTTGAGCCACAGCCATTTCTGGTTTTTGGTGGATAATTGGAGATAAGAGTCTCACAGACTTACTTTCCCTTGCTGGCTTCAAACTGTGATCCTCAGATCTCAGCCTCCTGAGTAGCTAGCATTATAAGAGTGAGCCAGCAGTGCTTAGTTCACTTACAGCTTTTTGCTCTGTTTTTCATTTTTTTTTTTTTGCAGTTGTGCAAGATTCAGTAATTAAAAAAACAAAAACAACAGTTTCAAAGCCAGGTGCTGGTGGCTCGTGCCTATAATCCTAAAACTATTCAGAAGTGTGAAATTTGAAGATTCTTACCTTCAGTTAACCACCAAAAAGCCAGAAATGGAGCTGCAGAGCACTAGCCTTGAATAAAAAAAACCTAAGGGATAATGCTGATTTACTGAGTTCAAGCCCTAGGGCTGTCACAAAATAAAGAAAAACCCTGTGATTTATTCGGATTGACTCAAAATGCCAACGTTGGCCAAATTATGATGTTCCCATATATCCATGGTTACTTCTAGATTTGTT